TTTCTTCGAGACAATCTAAAGGTAACGAGGGTGGTATCGTGTGAGTGTAACTGGTCATTTTTTTTTTTTTTTTTTTTTTTGAAAAAAAAAAAAAAAAAAAAAAAAAAAAAAAAAACCGACAAAAGACAAGCATAAATTTATTTACGCTAATAGATGAATGCACACAAACATGACCACCATCTCATTTTATAATGTAGTTAACATGTTTATGCCGTTGTCATAAAGTGTCCTCCTCAAACTACAAAAAAAAAAAAAAAAGTAGTATAACTTGACAACGAAAAGAAAATAAAATAAAACATCCAAAGATTTTAGCCGACATGTTTGAAAAAGATGATATTGGACAATGGTAAAACAAAAAAAAAGAACTCTCTTTTCCTCTTCGCTCCGCCCATTTAAACAAAATGCCGACACCCTCCTCACTTCGATGAGAATCCACCTACAAAGTTAAGGAATCAATAATTCAGTAAGGTGTTCGAGAGATTAGATAAAAGCAGAGCGATAATTAAAGTAAACTATGAATCATTCGTTCAAAAGGATTCGTTTGACGACAGTTTTCAACCTATTTGTTCGACCATAACATCAATCGCATCGCCGTCCTCCATCTCCAGCTAAAGTTATAAGTCACATCAGTTCATGGTGACAACACAAGCTGGCGAATGAAGGAAGGGTGAACTTACCTCATTAGGTGTGTTATGCGGTTGTACACGTTCGCCGTCATAGAGAAATCGAACCGAGTTTATGGACTTGCCTTGCCTCTCGCAGTAAGCATCCATGAGTTTCTTTAATTGAGTCGTTCGCTTGATTTTGAAAAACACTTCGTTGTGATCCTATAAGAAGAAGAGTTTATAAGATGGCAGTAACGCGTCGTTCGATTTAAGAAGCTTTTAGTTCAGCGCAGTTAAAACAATAACTAACATAGTTTATTCCTTATGAATATTCTTTGCTTTACGCGCACTTGCTACGACGGATTTGCCGCAAAGTTGAACGCGCCTGTACAAAACGACTTACATTTCCAACTACTTTGAGATTAATGTGCTCACTGTCCGACTTTTTGTTGTCGTCTCCGGAAGGCGCTGCATTTGGCTCTGACATTATGCTTCAGTGCTTTATGGTTTCGTGGTCTCTTTGGTTGTGTGATAGTTTCGGTTGTCAGAGGCTTTTCGGAACATACTCCTGATATACGTATGTATGTAAAAAAGTAGTAATTGAGAATCATGTGAGCATATAAACACGAGCATCACGTGTTAAATTAGTTCGGTTACTACGTAAATACGTATTAAATCGACGCGGACTTCGAGACTCGAGCAGTATTATTCAAGTTTACTACTACTACTACTATATTTATGAACCTATCGAAAACATCCCTGTAAAAAAAATTTTTATTTTTTACTATAAACGTCACGAACAATTCATGCCGCCTAAATTTTTTCGATAGTCATGCCCTCCTCCCCTTTATCATCTATATCGCGTTCTTCCTACCCGAGACTGTACTTTAAAGCTAGTAAAAAACTTCTTCAACCTCAGTTCCTCCTGCTTATCTTCGCCGTTAGCATCGGCTTATTCGTTACCTGTGTTGTCCTAGTTGATTTTCAAGACGACAACGAAGACATTGCTGAAGAGGAGGAAGGAGAAGAATAAAAAAAAAAAAAAAGGATAAAAAATGCCTGCCACATCTAATCTTCAGAAGACTGTGAACTTTACGGAACAGAACATCAATACCATGAAACTTGACAAGAGTGACTCCCAGATATCGTCTAAAGAAATCTGGGAGAGCGCCATTAACACATTACTCACTGCCCTCGGTATTGTATACACTTCTTTTTTATCTCTCTTTGTCGCCCTTTACCGCATTCCTCTCACAACATCGGCAACTCATTATAAATAGAAAATATTTTGTTGGATGAAAACGGCATGCCGATTAAGCAAGGTAGCACGGAAGAACCTTACGAACAGAAGGCAACAGGGCAAGCTTCCGGTACGTGAGATTCAAATCTAGCAAATAATCTTAGCAGCTAGTTTCTTAACTCCTTGTTGAATTTTTTTTTGATTGCAGCAGACACAATGATGGAGGAATTTGAGAGTTCCTTCGGCAGTTTGTCCCCTCTCAAACGAAAACGTGAAAACGGCGACCAACGTAAAAACAAGTCACAGAAACTATTGTCTTCGAAATTGGCCAGAAACCTTTCCTTATCCGAAGATGAATCGAACGAAGAAAGCATCCCTCCAAAGACAGATGCACACATGGACTTCTGCAATATCAACTCCAATTCATCTAATTCATCCCGCCCATTTCAGCGCAATGTCAAAAAATGTTCCCGTCAGCTATTTGGTGGAAGGTGTGATAAACCGACCGTCCCTCTAAACAACAACACTCTTGATATGGACATGGCTCTTGAACACCATACAGTGGGCGGTGATACCAGCAAAGTTCATGAACCCGAAAGAATTCAAATGTTGCGTCGCATAATGTCTGACTTCAGTGATTCTTATCACAGTTGGAGTGTTGCAATGTCAGATTGGATTGAATTACAGGCACAGAAAAGAAACATGAGCTTGCAGGAATTTCAAGTTCAATTTCAAGAACGAACTCGTGATGCAGAATCATTCTTCACGATTCTTCATGGTTCCATACCTCATGTTTACGATGAGATTCGAGTATCGGTTGACAGATTCCTGTTAAATGCGAATTGGCTGAGATGCGATTACTCCAAGCCCTTCATAGTAAGTCACTATTGTAAAATGCTTTTACTGTGATTGTCCTTTTGCTGACCGAGTTTATTGTAGCAAAACTTTCCTCAGTGGCAACCTTTTTGGGGGAAAAAATTGGAAAACATTGTACAATACGTGGAAATCGTTGAAGACATGAAAGCAACAGTTAATTATCAATACCCGCAAAGTGAAGATTCCAATCTGGATATGAAAAAAATTCGAGAATTCTTAGAATTCAAAAAATCTTTATACGGGGAAATACTGCAGCAGGATGGGTTAGTTTGGAAAGCCTGGGGGTTTCCCGTTGACGGCGCATGGATCCATGAGACGAAACGATGGCTGCTTGGTTTGTCTTTTCATTGTTTGTCATTCATGAACAATGAATTAGATAATCATAAACATTTTAATGTCGATGACATGCATACCACCAAGGTTACCTCTTGTTATAGGATCTCTGATGTTTTACTGTTTTCGCGAGTATTATTAACCCTCATAATATTTGTCGTCGCCATGTTTTATAGTTCATGGAAAGTGTTATGAATTGCATTAAAATTACCAGTACCACCGTTGAATTAATTGGAACCTCGAGCAACAAACTTATTTTACCCAGTCTCACCCTCGCAACTGCTTACACCGAGTGGGAATTGTCGCAAATCAAAAGGGTGGAAAGCAAAATTCGAGGAGTTGAAGTTAGAATGATGCACATTTGTGATAATATCAACCATGTATTGCATTATCTGCATATTATACAAGCAGCGGAAGGACAAGATGCCTCTTTTACGAGGGAAAACGATCATAACGTTTCTCCTGCCGAATGTCAACAAAACCTTAAAATCCTGGAAAAATTCTCCACTGCATTAGTAGAAACTGGTCTGAGGTTATGTGAACATATCATCAAACCAAAGACCAGTGCTGTGACGGGTCCCTCGAATTTTGTATACATGTATTCCGAATTCCTTGTCAGATTTGTCAGCCGGGTAAGTTTAGGATTCGGTGGATCCTTGGTTCACAAATGTGTCGTGTCACTAATTACCTCCTCCTTCAATAGGCACTTGAATTTACTGGTTTAGCAGAAGCAGCGGAAACTAGGATGCGTCCCCTACTTGCGAGTTTGAAAAACATGGAAAATGCGGCAAAATTTGGATAACCGAGTCAGTCCCCTTCAATCCACAAAGATACACAACCAGAAAAAGGAAGATAAAGAATAATTTGACTACTCCTAACGTAATCGAAAAACAATTGTTACATAAAATAATAACATTTATTGATAATAATGGTAGTCCACTTTGATGCATACTCAATTTTGCAATCAGCATAAATAACAGATATACAACCCATTGGACGCTTGTTATAATAATGCGATCGGAGGAGAGTTGTGTTAAAAAATAGGACGTTCGACGGAATAATTTGTTACCTGGGGGGATGTTATCATAACAAGTGTTCACTAAACAATATGTATACGTGATTGTTGTAGCCATTTTCTCGAGATTATAATAAATATTAATATAATTACAATAAGAAATTGATATTATTTTTATTCGTTCAAGTGCAAATTAAAGAATGCATAATTTTAATATGATCTTAACTGATTAAAAATTAAATTATGCCATTGTTGATCTTTATCATTGATTGAAAACGTAATTTTTTCTTTTAGTTTTTTTTTTTTTTTAATGAGATCTAATATATCAAACCTTGTTCAAAATATCTATACCATCTGATGTAAAGAATCTTTTATACTAATAAATAACTAATAAATATTGAATAGAAATAAAAAAAAAAAAAATCTAAAATTGTATTAAAAAGTTTTTTAAGTAATTGAAAAAATAATATTTTAAATTTGAATATTTCTAACAAAATTAAATTAATAAATATCTTTCAGATTTGTATTATTATTAAAGTAAGTTATCTTTTAATTGTTTAAAGGTGATTTAGATTTGTTTATAAAATATTAATTATAGAAAATTACAATTTTTATAAAAAAAATTTCAACTAATCAATTTATATTTTTGTTTATTCTATTTTATTTTGATATTTTTAATAAACCAACAACACATCTTTTTCTAAATATAATAAAAGAAATATTAAAATTGTTGATATTTTCAATATGATTAATAATTTATTTTTTCAGCTCTTTTTCAAGACTATAAAAATCTTATATATTTGTTTTTAAGGTTACTATATATTGGTTAATTTTTTTTTTTTTTTTTAATATACAGTCAGGTCCATATGCTATATCTTTATTGTATATATGTTAGATATTTACAAATTGTTATGACTTTTATATACTAACTCACTTATTGTCAAAAAAATATTTCTCTAAATATAACCTAGGAAATAATATTTTATTTTTTTATTAATTTGGATAACTTTTCTAATTAATAAAATCTTTGCTTATAGGTTATTACTATAAATTATTCTTTGCTTATAGGTTATTACTATAAATTATTCTAAGTTTTATTTGCAATTAAAAATCAAACTATTTGATTTTATGACAAATTCAATCCATAATAATCATTATATACTTCTTTTCTTCTTTTTTGTTAATACCTTTCAAATTCAAATTCTTCAGAAATAA